CTGGCATTACAATATCCAACAATATTTATGTGACGATATTGAAAAAATACAAAAACGCGCGTTGAGAATCATCCTCCCATCGCAAAAGTACGACGAAGCGCTGATCACGACTAACATCACGTCACTGAGAGATCGCCGAGAAAAATTATTCGAACATTTCTTTGAGAAGAATATTAACAATGAAAATCTCAAAGATCTTTTACCACAAGCAGTTTTATCTGGTTTTTTGATCTAAGACCGATATGTAAATATCATAATTATGTTTGCAGAACCGAATGTTTTAAGAATTCGTTTTTATCTCAAAGTATATTAAAGATTAACAGTAAATAAGTTTTTAGACATGTAAATAATCTTAAATATGTAATTATTATGTAATTTTAACTTATCCTCTTAATTTATGTAATACTGGTGTAATTTAACCCTTTTGGGTTACAAAGTCAGTAGTCATTAAATCAATTCAATTCAATTCAATATTCAAAGTTCAAACCACCGTCTTTAAGTTAAATCTCTCCTTTGGTTTCGTATTGTTTAATAACGAGACACAACCAATGCAATATCACCACCCCTCAGCAAACAACAACCGTGTCTTCGACTCCCCGTTCCAGATTCGTAATCGTGAAGATTTAGCCCAAGTTCGCGAAACGATACAAAACATCGACATTCATGAATGGGCTCGACAACAACGATCTAATTCCAAATGGATTGTCATGGATGTTACCAACGTTACCTTCTACGTCACCAAACTTCGAGACCATCCCATAGGCCGCAATGTTCGACTACCTAAATACATACTGGAGAGCCGTGCCATCGTGTCGCTCGACTGTAATATGGGACTACCATACGAAGACAAACTTTGTTTCTTTCGTTGTTTGGCCCTACACCCCCATAACCTAGAACGTGATACTCAAAATTTTTATGAACAATATTCAGAAGATGATGGTTTTGACGGTGTGACACTCGAAGAACTACCTGAACTGGAAAAGTTGTTCGAGTTGAACATTTACGTGTATCGCCTTACAGAGCTACATGACGAAGATGACGACACGACCTCCATTGTGGCTCAACTTATACAGCTCTCGCACCGTAGATATACCAATTCGATGTACCTGAACCTCTACGGCAGCCATTTTAGCTACATTAAGAATTTGGCCATGTACTCCGAGTCCTACTGTTGTTCCAAGTGTGACAAGATGTGGAAAACGGCAAAAGCCTTGAACAAGCACGAGCGAACATGTGAAGCAACTATACGTCACATTTTCCCTGGTGGTGCCTACAAAGTTCCAGAAACCATCTTCGATTTGTTGGCCGACGAGGGAATCGAGATCCCTGAAGACCTCAAGTACTTCCCTTATCGTGCCACCTTTGACTTTGAGTGTTATTTCAAACGTGAAACCAAGCATCCACGAAATACAGCAAAGTTAACGTGGGAAGCCGAACATATCCCATTGAATGTCTCTGTATGTTCGAACGTCCCTGGTTATGATCAACCCAAATGCTTCGTCTCGTCTGGCAGTACAAGTGAAATGATCCAACAGTTCGTGGAATATT